GTAATAACCCCTATGAGTGACTACATTATAGATAATAACTACCTATAACTATCTGTAAGTCAATGAACTACAGAGACTAGCTGGGATCTGTTGAGTACAACTCAGACTTACGCAAGAACTACCGACCTTCCAATAGTAGCACTCACTACTGGATTGACTTGCAAAGATCTTGTGCATATCTGTTACCTTTATTCTTATTGTACTGTTTTTTTTTAAATAAACCTTATTTTATCCATTTTGTTTGTCAAGTATATATTTCTTATTAGCACAGAATATAACAGAGACAAACTGTTTGTTCCAAAGAAAACATATTCAGTTCATTGAGAACCTAATTTAAAAATGTGAAGAATTTAGATTAACTCATTTTTGGGGTCTTTCAGATTTTTGCAGAGCCAAGTTATATGATTATTCTGATACAATATGTGCCAAATATCCAAAAGAGTAATTGAAACATATGTTAAAACCAATTTTTGTAAAGCCCCCAAACAGTGTCAAAGGGTGAATTAATAATGATTTTGAATATGTGCTGACATTTCTGAGGATGTGAGGATATAAAATAATTTCATTTATTTCAAAATAACTATCTTAAAACAACTAACAAAAAGCTTTTTAATGTAAACATTGATTAGTACAACACTATTAATGGTCTTAAAGGAATCATCAGTACAATAAAAAAAATTGTGTATTTAATAACATTCAATAATTTTAATATTATGCAATTTAGCTGAATTTAAATCTAGATTTTAACATTAATCTTAATCTAGATTTTAATTATGATTTAATAAGATTTTAATAAGATTGTATAAAAAAAAGAAAACTGACCTTTTCTAATATTTTTATATATGTGATTTCTATTGTGAATTGTAAAATACCATATTTTCTTGTGCATGATATGAGAAATTTTTAATAAAAATTAAAGGCAATTTATTATACATTTTCAGAAATTTTTACTTAGCTTAAAAACCTCTTATTTGAAACAGCAAGATTTCAAATTGTTTTATTCCTTGCTAACAGGAATATATATTTGAAAAACACGGTGGATAAAATAAATGAAGGTTTATTGTAAGAAAGCAGTTCAATAGGAATAAAGGTAACAGTTATGCACAAGATCATCGCAAGTCAATCCAGTAGTGAGTGCTACTATTGGAAGGTCAGTAGTTCTTGCGTAAGTCTGAGTCATACTCAACAGATCCCAGCTAGTCTCTGTAGTCTGTTGACTTACAGTTACTTATAGAAAGTTACTACCTCATGGGGTGTCAGGTTATTCCATTACATCACAAATATACTCAACACAATATATAATAAAACATAAAGTAGGCAGATGTTGATAACAATTGTTTACAAAAATGAGCCATGTCATTATAACATTGAGCCATGACTTTATTTATAAAAAACATTGAGCCATGACATTATTCATAACAAATACTGAGCCATGAAATTATTTATAACAATCATTGAGCCATGACAATATTTATAACAATCATTGAGCCATGACATTATTTATAACAATCATTGAGCCATGACATTATTTATAACAATCATTGAGCCATGACAATATTTATAACAATCATTGAGCCATGACATTATTTATAACAATCATTGAGCTGTGAAATTATTTCTAATGAACATTGAGCTATCTCTTCTTTTCTTCTCTTTTATGTTTTATCTCATTTTCTACATTGATCCTACCATGTTGGAAATTAATCAATTAATTATCATTATTTTGGGGGCTTTTTCCAACATCTTCCCTTAAAACTTGCTTATTACTTACATGCTCTATCCATGATATCCATTATTACATCCATATCTCAGCTCCTTCAAATCTCTTCATTTGTACATTTGACATTCACTGCCACATGAAGGATTAAGTTATTTACCCACAGGACAATAGCCACATACATTAAAACATTGATTTGTCACTTTGGTGACATATTGATTATGGTTTCAATCTCTAGGATGGGTGGTCGATACTTGAACTAATTGGAAATTTCTGTAGGTTACCTGGATCGACATACACCTGATGACGGGCGGAGAGTATAATGGCAAAAAACTTTATGATAACAATAACAAAGATGAGGACAATAGTCTGCATGTGAATGCTGTAAGTAATGATAACTGCTTATCCCAGAAATTCAAACAGAAAAAGATTATATGTTTCAGTTTGCGAAAGGTTTGTTTCACTATTCTTGTGTGTCTTCATATTTCTGTGTCACATCTCTATTTTGTTTTAAAAATCATTTCACCCCATGCAAGGAGATAATGCCACTAAGATGCAAGGAGTTGCTGAGAGTGAAAAAAAATAAGAAAACATTAGAGAGTCGAAGCAACAATAAAAGAACAATATTTAGAAAGAAGGAAGATGGCAGTTGACATTTAAATTTTTGAAGGTCCTAATTGACATGAAAACAAGAAATCAGAAGAGATTTCCACAGGTGAGAAGTGTGAGAAAAGAAACAATTAGAATAGAACTTACAGTTACATCTAACTATTTCAACATTAAAATGATTAGACCTAGTTACCAATCTAGTAATATGTGAATTCATGCAGTCAAGGTACCACAGGGGTAAGCTTATCAGAACAATTGACATGTAAATATTTATAAAAAAGACAGAGTGGAGCCATGTCATGATGGTAAGAAAATGATTGAAGTTGAGATGCCAGGTGAAGGTCAATAATATTGTAGATCCTTCTTTCAATTTTGTCAAGAATTAAAAGATATATTGCTGTAACACCTGACCATATATAGCAGTAATATTCAATGCACAGATGAATGTTAGTTTTATAAACATGAAAGATAGACCTACAAGATGATTAAATTCCTTCACTTGCTTAATTTTGACATCCCCAGTTATATAACCTGCAAATCAGATGTCCCTTGTGCTTACAACCAGATATTGTATCTTTTTATAGTGTTTTCTTCTTGCTGACATTGACTACACTCTCTAACAGTTATTTCAATTTTCTTTCTTAATCTGTCACCAGTACAGTATGGTATCAACTGCATAGCATATTTTGTTAAAATTATGTCCATCAATAATAAATCCTGGTTGATCATCTAGTCCCCTTAGACGTGTCTTATTGTACAGGTTAAATAGAGCTGGAGCCAGTAGCATTGCAGAAGGTAGATGCAAAAAGTGAGATGGCCCTGGGCATCCATATCGGAAGGGCAAATTTAGTTTGTGAGATTTGAAATTGTCTCTTAACTTCATTGTGCATGTGGCCTACAGTGTTTTGATAAGCAGGACCAGAGTAGCCCACCCCCATATTTGAGACTTAGAGGTATATAATCAAGGACATCAGCAAACCTCTGGCTGGGGTAAATATTTTTCTTACCTTTACATAAATATATATATATATATATTTTGTGGTGTGTATGGGTGGGTGTGACTAACAGTCAACACACAGTGGCTATAGTCTATTTCTTGCTTAAATGCAATCATCAGGCCTGACAATTGAATTCAAGCAAGAAACAGACTGTTACCGCTGTGTGTTGACATCAATGTCCACTTTTATATTTACCTATTCTCTATCCCTGATATTGAGCATTTTAACCCATAAATATAGCATACCTTAAAATATATATTTTTATCATATATATATATATATATATATATATATATATATATATATATATATATATATATCTTAAGACATGTCTCATTAAATAATTTAGACAATTTTTTCTACCTGTTTTTAATAGGATCCCCTCATATTTACAGATGAGTTTCTTAGTATCCTTATCAAAGGAAGAAAGAAAATTACCATGTTGATGTATATCCATTTTATTTTTGAGAACTTTCAACATTAGCACAATGTCATCTTCAGAGTCTTGCTTTTACTAAGACAAAATTGCTGTGTTCATCCGAAATTTTTTTTTTTTTTTACTTATTTCCAGTCCATAGTATTCTCTGCATCCTTCTGTAGAACTACATTACTGTTGTTTCAAGTTTTTCTTCATCTTTTTGGAGATTCTTCAGCATTCATTGACATATTGGATCACTGATATTACATAATATTTCAGTACTCTTTTCTTTATCTCTAATGAATTTTTTTTGATTTCTTAATTCTTTGCTTAGGCATCTTTCACTATCCCAATCTGCTTTCAGACTTAAGTGTCACACTTTCCATTCTTTTTAAAAAAAAATGACCAGATATTTAAAATCCATACTTGTTTGATTTTTTTCACTTAAATTTTTAATGGTGAGCTGTTCTTTTTGCTAACAACTACACATTGTGTCTTTTTACAATTGATATTTAGTACATTCTTTTCACCTTCCTTCACTACCTTCTGTAGGAGTTCTTGTAGTTGCCTTTCTGTATATCAACATTGTGTCATCTGCAATTCTTTTTTTTTTGTTAAGATTGTGGCCACCAATAATGAATCCTGGTAAGACATTTAAAATTCTCTCAGAATTGCTTCGCTGTAAAGGTTGAATAAATCTGGTGAGAAAACACATCCTTCTCTTACACCCTTTTCTATTTTTGTATATTTACTGAACTCATTTTCTATCTGTATGCAGGTGGTTTGGTATCAGTATAGTTGATTTTTGCCTGACACACACATGTATGCACATGAATAATAACAATTAATGCAAATAGGTAAATTTTCTCTATTGTCAAGCTGCTTTGTTTGTAAAGAGCATAAACTTCACAAGTCAAACTAAAACAGCTGCAAGCTAATGATAGATTCATCTTTACAGCAAGAAGAGATTGAAATTTTTGATTTAATATTTCTTTTTGTGATTAATAAAATTTGATATCAGATATTATCACTTATCATAATATTCTATGCTATTAGGCTCCTTGGTAACTAATGTTCAATTTTAGAATAAACCATTCAATTGTGTTCTAATATTATTATTATGATACTTGTACAAAAACATGTTACTCATTCCTAATAATTAAATTGACCCCTTTGTTAATTTTATGTCAAAATCTTTCAGAATTTAACTTAAAAAATTTTATACCCCTGATCTTTAACATGAAAAAAGAAGAGGGTTTATGGCCATATCATATTGAAACACCAGTTCCCATACAAGCACTGAAGTTAAGGAACATTAAGCCTGGACAGTACCTTAATGGGTGACTATTTGTGAATATCAGGTGCTATACACTTGGATGTGAAGATGGTGTAATGGATAATGGCTGGGAATTATTAATTGGAAGGCTGTGTTCCAATTCCAGTTGGGTTTATTATATTATTTTATGCACAAATGCCCTTGGGAAACTTATGAATCCGCCTCTTCTCTCTCCAGCTATGGGTTAATTAGTATCACTAACTCATTATTATCTTCAGAAAAAAAATTCTTACAATCTAAAAATATTTTGGCAAAGGGTTGATAAGCTATAAAAAAATTAATCAATCATTAACCAATCAATGAAAAAAAGAAAAGATGCCTAATTTTTTGCATGAGGTTAAGCTTGATCATAATGCTTCTCAAACTGTTGCCAACATTAACAGAGCATGGGGTGAAGAATACAGTACAGCACTGGTTTCTGAAGACCCTCAGTTTTGAAGATTAAAGTCATAGAGGATGTCTATCTGCAATTGACAATCGACATCTGAAAACACAAGTCAAATAAAACATGTTAGAGAAATATCTCATATAATGGATGTCAGCCATTCAACAATATCGGACTATCTTGAGAAAATTGGTAAGGTGAAGAAACTTGATAAATGGGTTCTGCATGAACTTGGTGAAAAAATTTGGAAGTAGCATCTGCTAAATTCAAAAGGTCCATTTCTTGATTGAATAGGGACTTGTGATGGGAAATTGGGATCCTTTATGGCGATTGCATACAATCAGCTAAATGTTTTTCTTGTGGGATTGCTGGTATGTTTGGGTAAATATTTAGTCACCATTATGTTGCAGGAATTAACACTTTTTAGAGTAATTATCAATGGGGGCGCTCTTGAAAAATTTATCCCACAAACAATATTGATTGACTCAATATGGGTCCGAGTAAAAATGAGCAACACAAAATTATAAAACAAATGACAACAAATTTCATGTATTGACAAAAGGAATTACAATTAAAATAATAGAAGAAAACCTTTAAAGTCTAATTACATAGAAAACCTTTAATCTAGAGAATGTGCATTTTTGTATGTGTGAAATTTGTGAAGGAGTACAAAAAGTCAAGTGAGAAAAATGAAACAATGAAAATGAATATACCCTGGGGAGACATTTTTTTCCGATGTGTGACTATATCATATAGCCTATTCATTTTCATTGTTTCAGAGAAAAGAGGCTATGGAAAAATGCACACTTTTATACAGTCTTAAGGAGCACTCTCTAGAGACAGTTTTTTTTTTAGGAATGTCAAATAGAATAACTGACAGCTTGATCATGACAAAGGACCCAAACACTTTCCAAAACTGAAATTGCAACATCAGAAGATTATAGTGACTTTCTGGGGATTAGATTTTATGATTAGAATTTGAAATTCAATATCATAATTTTATAAAGAGGATCAATTACAAGGTCTTCTATCAGAATTACATTACATTACAGTAATTAGTTTCTTACTTGTAAAATCCATGATTTTTCATTATGCCTTATTATATTTTTTCTTTTACTTCCAGAAACAACATGCTGAGAGCAATAAATTATTTGTCTCCTATCAAAGAGGACAATTTAAAATGTCACATTTTCCAAAGAATCTGCATCCTCAAGTAAGTATTGATGTTTTTAATATATAAATGAATTCTATATTAAAATGCATGGAAAAGTTCACAATATTCATGATAATTTTTTCCTTCTAGATATACACAGATAACTGTATTTATTGTATTTGCATTCTTACTGGTTATTTTGGTGCCAGATAAATCAGTTAATGAGTGTCTTTTGCATACCTACCCTAAGAGAGAGACAGAGGTAAATACTTGGAAAAATGTTTCCTACACATCAACAAAAACATTACTTTAATCTGATGAAGTCCTTCTAGAGGACAAAACGTGTTACACAGAATTTTTTCATTCATTTTTCAAATATAGATCCAGCCTGCTAAAAGTGTAGTAGTTACTTTTTTAAAGATTACATTAAAGTTATTAGTTACCATGCAAATATGCAGTGTAGCTTCCTATCTCTATATGTCTATCTTAAATGGTCTGCCTCTGATAATGACTAGTCTTCCTCTATAATTAAGGCAAATTTTAACATAACAAATATATATTTTTTAATTGGTTTCAAACCCAAGCAAGGCAGTAAAGCCATTATAACACAAGAGATTACTGGGTGTGGATGCCAATCTTGTACTGCACTTAAATTCAAAAAGTCTAGGTACCATAGCAAAGAACAATATTTATTTCCACTTGTTTACAGAAAATGTAGCACAAAGCCAAAATGGAGAATGGGGAAAAAGATGGTCCTTTTCTGTCTTAACATTAAACTTAGCTAGCCACAAAAACTGACCCAAACATACAACAATATTCCTAACACCAAAACAACGTATTCTTACTTACCTTTCTAACTACATCCACCATAATACCTCATTGTCTCTATGAAAGTTTGAACTAGTCCCCATATATACAATTCACTGTCTGTGAAGAGGAATAAAATAACAATATCAAATAGCTCATTCAAATAATTAATATGAAAGTATTTATAGAAAAGGCAGAGAGAGGCAACCTTATGGTGATCAGAAACTAAGTGAAGCCAAGTTGCCAGGTCAGGACCAATAATATTGTTGATTCTTCTATGGATTTTGTGAAGGAGCTCAGGGTAAATAGCAGGAGCATCAGGCCATATGTGGCAGCAATATTCTAATCATGGATGAATGATATACTTATAGATATGTATGATAGATTCTGGAGAGAAAAATTGTTTCACACAACACAGTGAACCAACTTTCTTAGCAGTTGACCTAACAATGGATTCAATATAGTCTTTCCAATACATGTCAGCTGAGTGAATTAACCCAGGAAGGTGCAGTGAGTCCCTTTTCCTGGAGGTTAGCATCAGCCTTACTGATGGAAGACAGAGAGTGGTCTCTCAGATGATTAATGGAGGGAAGTTTAGTGTTGGGGACATTAAAATTAACAGACTACATATATATATATATATATAAAATAAATACTGCCTTGGAATTGCATGTTTGCTTAAATGATATTGCCAGCTGAAGGAGAATCCCAGCTAAGTTTATGTTCATTTTACACAAATACTGTGAGGAAAGATAAGAATGCATTTCTTCCTCCATAATGGTTCTCAACAGAAATCCAGAAACATGTCTTCTTATTTTCATATCATGGAAGAGTAAATAGTTTGGCAAACCCTTCTCGCATTGCAACCTGACATGTCCAGGAAAACTTTATTTATGATAACAAAGTCAAATCATATTACTTTGTAGTAATATGAATATTTTTATGAAATATATCTTTGAGATGTTCAGGTACACATCATCAGTAATGTTTTTGCCTGTGGATTATTAGGGGTTTCAGGTTTTAAAATATCATACCCCTTCTTTATGGCAACGTAATCAATACTGATCAGATATCGACTTGTATGCCAAGCGTCAGCTACAATTTTTTAACTAATGGAATGATATCCTAATCCACTGCAAATATATATAATAAGCTGATGGAAAAAACATTTTAAATTATTTTTATTAACTGCAAGGGGTTTTTTTTTTGTATCTTCACAAATCACTTGAATCTGAATTAGTCTTTAATATGTGCTATTAGTTTTTAATCTGTTGCATCAAGATGGGATTTAGTGTGAGGGATGTTTATCATAATTTAATGCAAGGGAAACAAGAGATGAATGACAAGTAATTGACTTTATGAGTTAATGAATGGGAGAAAAGGAACAAAGAGTGATTTTAAAGATCAAGTTATTAGAGCAATAAAATGATATGAAGATGTGGAGAGCCATGATCAATGATATTCTGAATAGACATGCCACATGAAAAGAAGAAATTATATTAAATATTATATAGGAAGTGCATGGTGGCCATTGCCAAAGAAAGTAGAATCATTTAATCTATTTTTCAATTCCAGAAAAGATTATTAATATTTCCTTCACATGAATGGGACATTCATGCAAACAATACCAAATTGATCATCTTTATGATAATTCAATCCAAATGAATGTGTCAACTGAAAACAGTGAATTGATTATACACTTAAAATCAATTAAATTTCTCTCTATGGTCAGTAAAGTGACAATGAAATTCTTTGCAAAACAAGCTCTAAACACTGAATGTTACTATTTACAGTGTCTGGTCCAATAATCTACCAAATAAATAATCCCCATGTATTAGGAACTGAAAATTATACTTTGTAGAGGCTCATCCCTTACTTCCTGTTTAAGACTAGGTTTCTGGTTCCTTCTAAATTCTTCTCATTCTCTTTCACTCCTAGTAATCACTTGTGTCTTAGTAGCATTATTACTTTGTTTAAAAAAGGAAAATCAAAAACAAACCTAAGTCCTACTTTGCACTGTATCTAGCATGCTTAAATCAAAACTTTCTTATTACTGTGATTGAAGAGAAAAAATAAAATTTACTGCCCAGTGCTAGGAGTGAACTCAGAACCTTCAGTCAACCAGCTAGAGACTTCAGTTTTTAATAGCTATATCACACCTTTTCACTGGAATAAAATCATCCAGTGTAGCTCTATAAAAGTCAATGCTTTTTATCTCTCACGAGTCTTTGTCTTTTGCCTGAAGAACCTTTTTTTTTTTTTACTCAGGATTACTATCCCCAAGATTTTTACCAATTACTCGATTACTGAGAGAATCAAGCAGAGAAATGAGTGAAGAAAAAAGAAGACTTAATTTAAACTACAGTTACTTAAGAGTTTAATGAATTAAACAAAATACTTGGCAAAGAAAAGATGATCACAACCAAATTAGACAAGCAGTACTTTGACCTTACCACCTGTAAATCTAGCATTTTATATATTCATATTTAATATTTCTCTCTATAGAAACTATTACAAAGATAACACTTGCAACAGAGCAATGCTAAAAATTTGAAGTAACATTACAAATATTAGAGAATACAAAATATAGTTTTTTCAAATTCTTTTTTCTATCTATGTTTATTTTTGTACAATAGAAGATAACGAGGTCAAAGGTCTTGAAGTTATTGGAAATTAATGACAATATTACTTTTTTTATCAAATTATTATTAAATGTAGTTATTATTTTAAGCTGTAAATCTGATTTTATTTCTATATTTATTTCTTATCAAAGTACAAGGTTATTAAGAAGAATTAAATATTTTCCAAAACTTTCATATTGCTGGAAAATTGTTTTTCTGCTTTTCTTTTTCAAAGAAGTTTTGAAGCTTTTATTCTTGAAAAGAAAGAATGCGTATTAGCAAAAGGAATCGGCAAATTGAAGATACCAAAATTAAACAAGTACAATAATTTAAATACAGAGTCTGCCAAAAATGTCAAAAAATGCCTACACACTTCAGGAAAGGAAAAACTTGTCTTTTGTAGTTTTAGCAAATTACAATGACACTCTTGACTGTAGGATGTTGTGTATTGGAGAAAATTGACTACATTTGTGGCCCTTAGACAAGAATTTAAAAATGTGTGTGCAGCAATCCCTGGAAGCTTTGGTCAATGTTGTCTAAGCACTAGTTTGCCATACTAATAAATATCTGGAAGCTAAAGGCCATCATTTTGAGCATCTCTTATAATTGTAGAGTCCAATGGTAACATGTATATATCTTGTGATGTTTTAATAAATTTAGTATTACAATATCTATACAAGTTTTTCATTTCCTGAAGTGTATATACATTTATTGGCAGTCTGTGTGTGTGTGTGTGTGTGTATATATATATATATATATATATATATATATATATATATAGATATAGATATCATTTCACTATATATCATGGTTTGTCATAATTGTGTCTGATAAGTCCAGTGCAGGACAGGCATACACAGTTGCAGTAGCTGCAGCTGAAAGACCAGCCTGGGCTTGATGACATAACATTGCAGTACTTCCTCTTCTGTCATTTGTCCCTGAGAGCAGCCCCACAGATATTTTCAAAGAAGGAGACAGTATGGTTGGTGGTGAGATGCCAGGTGTCACGGTTCTCAGATAGGATTGACCATTGGCAGCGGTTGATGTGAGAAGCACCAAAGGATATTTTCAGGCAATCTTTAGTGCCATAATAGCCAATGGAGAGCTCACCATACAATAAAATTTTAGGCAGGCAATGATTCTCCATCCTGGAAACGTGTCTAGCCCAGCATAGCTAGGACTTCAGCAGCATGGTCTCAATGCTGGTGATCTTCGCCTTTTCAAGGACTTCAATATTGTTATTTCAGTGGATGTTAAGGATTGTGCGGAGGCAGTGCTGGTGGAACCATTCAAGGAGTTGCAGGTGGTGTCAGTAAGTGACCCATGACTCTGTAGCTGTATAGGAGAGTAGGTCGGAATGAGAAGTCAGAGATCTGAAATCAAATTCCAGTCAGGTTCATTATATTCACTTATAAACAAATACCCGTTGGAAAGGTATGAATGCACCTCCTTCCTCGAGCTTCAGGTTAAATAATAGGACTTGTATCTGGAAAAATCATTGTTATTCTCAAAATATTGTTGCTACAATATTCACGTGCAAAAAAAAATATTCTAACAATTCAAAAGTATCTGTCTATATTTCTGAGAGGAGTTATTATGTACACTGTTTACATTATTTGGACTATTGTCCTCATCTTTGTCACCATATTTATTACAACGTTTTGGCCATTGTACACTCCAGCCTTTTTCAGGTGGTTGGAATGTCAAACTGAACCTTTTATTTTGCTCTCTGGGGTAGACTGTTCTAGTTCCACGTGCCATGTTTAATGGATGTCAGTTATCAGTTATCTCCTGTTAATTCCCCTCTCCAAGTTCTCCACTGCCTTAATCGGGTATTGAACTCACACTCTTTGGGTCCTGTCACTGGATCTAACCATCCTCAAGGACATATGGCACAGTGGAAAAAGGCATTGTAAATACTGAATTCAAAAGTATTTCTTGGCTTTAAATAACCAAAAAATGGTTGATAAGCTGTAAAACAAAAATAAAAACAACCACTTAAAAACAACTTCTGTATATCAACCTCCCAATCAAATTGTATATGGACCACAATGTCACATTTGAGGAAATTATGAAAGGGATAATTTATTGTGTGATTATAACAATTTTTCCCCAGAAAGAATCAAGAGATATTCTTTGCCACAGAAGATTCTGCAGCAATAGCATTACCACCCCAATCCTTTATTATACAAAAATTATTTTCTTAGATTTATGAGACATTACATTATTTCTCTTAATTATTTCTATTTCAGTTTTTGTTGTGGTGTCTTCTCCCTAATGAGGTTATTGTGGACTTTAAAGTAGTAGGAAAGTAAGCCTCGGGGGAACAGTGATATAGACTGAATATTTATTGCATTAAAAAATACAATTATGGCACAAGGCCGAAAAAGGGGAGGGATTGAGGCTGTTCTTAACTAACTATCCTATACCTAGCTAATCCAATTCACAACCCATTCATACATTACAATTTCCACGTTCACCACAAGAACTCATCCATCATCAATGAATCCTCTATACGCCATAATACCACATTCTCACTAGGGAAAGCTACAAAACGTGCCCTGTGACATAAAAATTTAATGATGCTGAAATATATATAAAAATCTATGATGAAAAAATGAGAGGGGAGGGAGATGAACCCAATAACAAACTAAAATATTAACACAAATCAAATTAAACATAACTGATGTTAGTAGGACCTGTCCAACCCTGAAAACAGAGGCCACTGTATTCTGCCCATTGGACAAAATCCAGAAGCGCTCTCGCTAAGTGAGTGGGAAAAGGATAAAAATATATACGGGCATGGAAAAATATAAAGCTGACGCAGTCAACATAAAAAAGGGCCAAAACAAACTGGGGAGGTTGGGAATCTCAACTTGGATCATAACCAGAAAAAAACACTTACTCACTAGGTACACAAAAGCTTGTTTAACGTAACCAAGGGGAGGGCTCCACAGGAAACCACCCCGATGTGACATAGGCTGACCTAGAAGAGAAAATCAAGGCTAGCTCCATTCAAATGAACCAAGCTCACCTCTTTCCCCCACCTTTCACTGAAGACTGTCAAATGCAATTGTTTCCTATCAGTTCTAATCTTCATCTTGAGCTGATGCTCAAAGAATCAGATTAGATCCTGATGAGAAAAACGGTTACCATGCAAGACTTCCTCCTGTCGCGTCATCCATATCACCATTCGAGCCGTGGCTAGCAGCTTCAGAAACACCATCCGTTTTACACCGGAATACGGGGGTGACACATTGTCACACATGCATGCGTGATCAACGAGCCCAAGCTTTTTGGGAGTGAGATGAGCTGTCAGCTTGCCGACATGGTCCCATAATGGGCGGACCTGGGGCAATGGTAGAAGGCGTGCGAAGCCGTTTCCTCTAAACCAAGGCCACACCATTCACAGTCTGGCAAATCCACCAAGCCCCATATGAAGGCCTTAAGGGTTCCTCTCTGCTCAAGGCAGAGAGTTCAACAGTAACGAACAGTGATATGGACTGTTCGTTACTGTTGAACACTCTGCCTTGAGCAGAGAGGAACCCAGACGAGGCTTTGTCAAAGGTAAAGTCTTACTCAGGGAGGTAGACAGGCCTGGACCCACTTATGCAGGTTCTATGGGAATATTTTTGGCTGAGCCTATGGGCTTGGAGATCCCATGGTAAACTCGGCTTTGTGCCATATACATCCCTCGTGGGGGGGGGGCTGTTAAATATTAACAGTGATATAGACTGAATGCTGGTCAACCAATACCTGCTCCCAAATTGTGTAACACACTTCTGTTGTATTTACTGTTCAATACACTATTTATCTGTAACCACTTGTTTTGTTATTTCTTAACGATTACTTGGTCACAACAGTTTTTTTTATCATTTCACCTAAGATGCAGGAGGTTACTTAGTGTAAAGAATATAAGTAAAAAATATTATTAAGGAGGAAGAACAATAAAAGAACAGAAATTAAGAAAACAAGGTAATGATTAACATTGCATTTCAATTTTTGAAGATCAAACTTGACTGGATTTGCTCTCAATTTTATAAAATCTCCTTTCCATTTATAATCATTTCAGAATTTCAACATTTTAAATACAGATGAAGGACAAGTCTTTGTTGCTGTTCATTATAAGAAAGATTATATCAATTGCTACTTGTCTGATCCAACGGGACAGTTTTTTGTATTGACTCTACAAAATATTGTTGCTGTAACATTAAAAGGACATTTCCAAGTTGATCTCTACCAAGTAAGTATTTCTTTTTTCTAAATACCTTATTTGATTTTATAACAAGTGATGAATATGTTGCTTATATGAGTTCTGAATCATTCTTGTGTTGTTTATTTTTATTCTTTTTTTATCATGTCACCTTGCATGAGATGACATGATAAAAAAAAACATGATACCATGATTTTAGTATCACCAATTTGTAATTTGCATATGTAAGAATATATTGTCCAAAATAAGTTTTTTTTTTTGTTCAGATGGTCTGCTCCTTTTGAAAACAACTATGCATTCTGTATCTTGGAATTATAACTTTTAATTTTTAAATTGAGTTTTCCCCATAATTTCTAAATTGAGCTGTCTCCCAAATAGATGCATATTTGAAGCACCCATTTCGAGCATTCTGTTTTTTGTTGCTCATTTTTGTCCTTTAAACATCACTATTGCTTTTTAAAACATCACTATTGCTATTTTTTCCTCTTGTGTCAAAATTCTATTATGTCCATCAGATTTTTTTTGTAACCCAAACGTCATTTTTCTGAAAAAATTTAAACTCTGAAAGTTAAAATCACTATCAACTGGATTGAATTTAGTTTATTTAACCAATGACTTACATATCTTGTTCTTCTCATAACAGTGTGACAAAATATATGCCTTCATTGATATCAATAAAAAGAAAAATTAAACTACACAATCCTTATTGACCCACACTGCAGCACTTATCTCACAGATGAAACATTGCTAGCTTCTCACTACTCAATCACTATTACAACAGTAAATGTATTAAATTTATTTATATTATTTTAGTTTTGGATTAATTTCTATATTATAATATTTTAAGTAATAGGTTATGAATTATCATTTTCTTTGAATTTTTTAACATTATTATAGACATGTATCTTGGCTTAGGAAAGGAATATTTCTTTTAAAAAATCCGTGGCAAAGATTTATATTTTAAGATTCAATAGTGGCACTTTCACGAATTTTCAGTTTAATTAACTTACTTTCTCTTTTAATAAGTACAGATTGATGTTGTGTTCAGATAAGATTATTTTTTCCTTTGTCTTTATTCATATTGTCCTTTTATGGATATATTTTTAATTATATCTGGAATTTTACTCACATACATACATACATATTACGTTACATATTCAAGGATACCCATCTACTAGGAGGGCTAGCTAATCCCTGCTGCATATGCTTGCTCAGGCACATTTTGTGTTTGTTCAACACCCATCTGTGGTTTATACTATGCTGAGCAGACCTTAGTTACAGTTTCTGGGAGAGAAGCGTGTTATCTAGCGTGATCAACAAGGCCAGCACACTCAAACTTTCAGTCACGATGACTTGTGACTTCATGCTAGCACAGCCATCGAAGGCCCCCAAGGGTTTCATCTACCCAATTTCACTCAAAAGACTTGGGTCAACCTGTGGTATGGTTTTCAGGCACTTTTCAAAGGTGCCACACACTGGTATCGCCCCCTCCAAAATGATAACATCAGGAAGTCTTCTTCCTGGCAAATCAACTATGGTGAGATTTGAACCCAGGTTCTCATGGTCAAAAAGTGAACATTCTAACCACTTGGCCACGTGCCCATATATATAAATTTATATACAGGGTGTCCCAAAATAATGTATACACTTAAATATTAATAGTTAATATTATATTACTGTGATGTGAGAAGTTATATGGATGAAAATATGCAAAACAGATGGATTGGAAGAAGAGGGACAGTTGAATACCCAGGTAGATCACCAGATTTGACATCCTTAGATTTCTTTTTGTGGGGGTTTCTAAAAGACAAAGTTTACAGCAGGAAATCTGAAACAATTGCTGAAATAAGAGTAGTAATTGAAGAAAAATGTGCTCAAATACCAGAGAAAATGATACTGGACATTTGTAGTTCTATTTCATCAAGATATGAAAAGTGTATTGAACAGAACGGCAACCAGTTTGAGCATTTGATGTGAACTCATCATTATATGAACAATCTTATCAAAGTAAATTTTCTATGTTTTTTTGTATATTTTACTCTCAAATTCTTTAAATGTGTATTCTTTCTCTTGTATTAATCTTATTTACAAGTCAAAATACATAAATTGAATAAGTTATAACAATTCAAAGAGTGTATCCATTATCTTGGGACACCCTGTATGTATATATATATATATATATATATATTCATACATCTTTCATTAAATAATATAGACAAGTGTTGTCTATTTATTTGATGTAAATTCTTTTCATAACGTCTGATAAGCTTAATAACATTATCATTAAACGAAGAAAGAAAATCACAATATTGATCCATATTTTTTTAATCCAATCTAAGCTTTTGGCTTACATAAGCCATTATCAAAGATGTCAATTTCTGTACAATATATTAAGCAATATACGGACAAGACAGTGATGATAGTCTGTTATTGTTTACATGGGTGATTTCCAAGCAACGATAAACACATTCATATAAGACACTAGAAGCGAAAATCGCACCACAGCTCATGACGTCACACATGACCACACAAGAGTGAATTCGAGAAGTATTATGTGTGTGTGTGTATGCGTGTGCATATATATATATATATATATATATATATATATATACTACTTGGAGTTTCATACAGTTAATACAACCTTCAAGTTGAAATTTATAAAGTCTTTGTCTTAAAACAGTTTTACAGGAAAATTGGCTTCTCAAGTTCAGTAGCTTTATTACTCCTTTTTCTGTATGGATGGGGGGGGGTCCTTCCTAACCTTTTACTGCAATAAAACAAAAACAGAAAATACGATCATCAGCATTAGAAAAAAAGCCCAAGATGTGTTACAATTTGGAGATATAAACATCAAGGAGTTGCAGAAGTTCAAATATCTGAAAAGCGTTTTAACATAGGATGGAGATTGCAACAACAACATCTAAAACATGCATTGGATTAGCAAAAGAAGCATTCCAAAAGCTAATCAAGGTGTTGAGAAATGGAAAAAATTTGTTAGAAACAAGGAAAAGAGTGTTTGATTACTATATTATATGCCCCCCCCTCTTAGACAATTTCCTTATGGATGAGAAAAAAATCTGGAGGAAGCAAAAATGTGGTTCTACAGAAGAATATTAAAAATTCCATGGACAGAGTGAGTAAGCAAAAAAGAAGTCTTAAAAAAAATGGCAACAGAAAGAACACTCAAAATGAGGAAAAAAATAGCTGAAATTCCTTGGACACTTAATGAGGAAGGAGGACTTGTTAAAATTAACTCTCATGGGACGTATTCAGGACAAGAGAGATATGGAAAGGCAGCAAGCCACTTATCTGATAAGCTTGTGTGAATTGATGGTGAATGGAGGATGTTGGGTGGGGGGTCTTATCAAAGTGAGAAAACTGCTAGGAGCCACACAAGATAGAAAGTTGTTGAAAGCCACGAGTTCCTATGTCCTGAAAGGAGAAGTGTCAACATTTGATTATTTCATTTTCATATTCTCTTTGAGTTACATGTACTGTCCATTTTAGCTGTTGCTGCTAAGGAAAGTCCTCAGGTGATGGGGTTTCTTTTATTTGGTACTGTTCTTTGGGATTCTGGAGTGCCAGTCTACAATGCTCAAATTAGGATAGTCTTTGCCAAGACCAACAGGTTTCACTTGCTCAAAGATATTTTTAACCATTGAAAGCAGTTGTATACAGCTGGCAGTTTATTGCATCGTCTGGAAAGTTCATGACGATTTTTAAGAGAAATTAAAATACAAAACAAAATTATGCCATTAAATATTTATTCAACTACATATAAACTACTTTGTTGTACAACCTTTCCCTATTTTTTCTTCAACTTAAAGATTCCTTCACAAAATTTCAGTGGTTTCTTGGCAAAGAACTCATTAAGGTGGGTTTTTATATCACCCAAAGAATTAACATTTTTATTATTGAGATTATTTTGCAAATACCTGAATAAATGAAAATCTGAAGAAGCAATGTCTGGTGAATATGGTGGATGGGGTAACACATCCCAGCCAATCTGCAACAATTTTTGCCAGGTTGCCAAAGAAATGTGAGGTCTGGCACTATCCTGATGGAAAACAATAACTTTCTTGTTTGCCAATTTCGAGTGCTTTTCAGGAACTGCTGTCTTTAATTTGTCCAGATGCGAGCATAATTTTTCAGAATCAATTGACTGGTTACTTGGCAGAAGCTCATAGTACAGGATTCCTTTCCAATCCCACCAGATGAACAGTATGACTTTCTTAGGATGAAGATCTGCTTTTGAGGTGGCTAAAGTTGGCTCATGTTGCTTACCCCAGAATCTTTTTCACTGAACATTGTTGTAAACAATCCATTTCTCATCACCTGTCACAATTTGCTTAAAAAGGGTTCATTTTCATTGCATTTATACAGCAAATTACAAATGAAATGTGAGCCAAAAGATTCTTTTCACTCAGATCATGTGGTACCCAAACATCATTCACTAAGTGCTCATGGATGGTGGATTTTGATAAATTTAGTGTTTCTACCAATTCCTGCATTGTGTAATGCAGGTTATTCTCAATCAATGTATTGATTTAGTCATCATCTGTAGTGGTGGGGTCTGCCAAGGCATTCTTCATCAATAAGACTACAATCACCAACTCTAAACTTAGTGAATGACTTCCATACAGTTTTGTCAGCTAAAGCACCTTCACTGAACATAGCACATATCTTTTTTGTTGCTTGAAAGGCATTTTTGCTTTTATGGTTAAAAAAAAGCATCAAGTATCTAAAATACACCTTATAATCTTCCATTTTCATAGGGTGGCAAAATTGACACAAATTAAGTAATTTTAAACTCTTTGACTCAAGAGATAGTTTGCAGTGTGCTCTAATCAGAAATTAAACTATATTATATCTGTTGACTAGCAGCATGGCCTGGCATTGACTGTACTTGATTCAAAAATCATATGACTCATACAGCAATCGCTATCACTTGACTTAAAATATTTTTGCCCTTCCTTGCCTTTAAAGGAGTGCCCTTTGCCGTGCTGACGTTGCTACATGCCTTACTTCTT